TATATATATATATATATATATATATATATATATATATATATATATATATATATATATATATATATATATATATATATATATATATATATATATATATATATATATATATATATCAGGCTTTCCCAGGAAAGGCGTGCGGTCGCACGCCTTGTTTGTCCTCGCATAGAATAAATTTTTCAGAAAACGTGACCGCGGCATTATTTCGTAAGAAAGCGGAAATTATCCACAAAAAATAAAAAATAATATTAAAAAAATGAAACGAAGTCTAAACAAAGTATAAAATTGATATTGGATGTAAGAAAAATATTTTGATAATAAAAAAAAATTTAAAAAAAAAAATTCTTGTAACAAAAAAAAAAAAAAGTCTTGAACATTTTTTTCAAAATTTTTATACTGTTTTTGTTTTCTTTTATTAGGGTTGCTTTTTTCAGCTACGAAATTTGATACAAGTCAAGGAAAAGACGACGATAAGTCATAAAATTTTCACGAAAATAAAAAGACTTGATACGTAATTTATTCATGAACTTTATCAGACAATGTATTAAAAAACTGATTCATTATTTACGCTAGACAAATTTGGTTAAACTTTTTCAGACTAGACAAATTTGGTTAAACTTTTTCATTTAATTTTGTTTTTACGAAGGTTTTTGCAAAGGCAATGACTTTATTCCCCAATACTTAGACAAGAAAATAAATTGCTGTTCTAAATATTAAATATATTATTTGAGATTTTAAACATAAAAAAATTTTAATGTGAAAAAAGTTCTTTTTCGACTTATTTAAAACTGATTATACTGAGTCAATGCTCGCCTTTTATTACGTTGAAATTATTCAATTGCATAATTTTGTAATTACGAGAGAAGTTAAAAAAATAATTGCATTGCTTCTGTTGTCATTGTTACGAAAACAGTTTCTTCGGGACATTATTATATATTAACACTTGTTCACAATGTCAATTAATGATTGCAAAATAAGCAACTCAATCGTTTGACAATAAAATTTTCTTTCATTTAAAAAAAAAAAAAAAAACATATTTTACTAACAAATAACAATCGTTTTCGTGTTTTCTTGCGTATCAATACATTCAAACATTAAAATCAATACATTTAAACATTTAAATGTATTTACGAAACATTTAAAAATTGTTTATAGTTCTAGCGTGAATTTTAAAGTATTACTGACTGATAAAAGTCATAAACAAATTTTACATTAAAAGGTCTTTTTATTTTCTTTAAACATTAATCTTTTTCTTTTTGATTTGATTTTTCTTATTGATTTGATTTTTCATAGCTTAAATAACTACCACCCTAAAAAAATAAAAATATAAAATATAGGTAAATTTTTTTTTAATAATATACATTAATTTTTTAATTTTAAAGCACAAACAGATTTCTGTTATTTACTTTAAGATTGCTTGCATTTTTGCGGTATTTTCGTTTAGCTTTGTTTTGGCGCGAATTCTTGAAACGCATAATAATAAAACGTGGTCAGTTAGTCAGAAAAATTTATTCTATGCGTGGACAAACAAGGCGTGCAACCGCACGCCTTTCCTGGGAAAGCCTGATATATATATATATATATATATATATATATACATATATATATATATATATATATATATATATATATATATATATATATATATATATATATATATATTTTCTCAAAATAAAATAAAATAAAATAAGAGACTTCAAAATCAAAAAATAATAACTTAAAAATTCTAAAGAAAGCACCAAGAGCAGTTGTAACAATGTTTAGTATTTAAAATTGAGTATATGAATTTTGTAATGTAAACCCATAAGCATTTCTCCTGTTTCCGGAGTTAACCAATTTTTGTTAACCTATTCGCCGTGAAGAATTAACTTGTTCTCCATAACTAAACAACCCTTCACTTTCAACAGAAGATGGAAGGCATAATAAATACTTCTGAGCTATTGGAGCTATTTGCTTGAAGTTGTTTCAATTTGCTCCCCACCATACTATAGAAATAGGGTTCCCATTCTCCTCTTTTTTCCGTAGAAGAACGCAGTGAAAACAATTTTAATTAGTTATGCGCCGCGCTCTCCTACAAAAAAAAAGGAGGATGGGAACCCTATATAGGACTATCTTGTTGCATGAAAATGTCTTGGCTCAAATACATTAAAACTTCAATTTTAAATAATATTTGCTTTCTGTGTCTTGCAGAACTTCAGATGTTGATGTGTTTTCAATTAAAGTGTTTTTGTTTTTTATAAAATTTTCAAAGCATTTTTAAAAATCAAAATCTAGATTTATTGTACTTGATGACAAACTGACCTCAGGTTGAAATTCCATATGATCTTTTTGTTGAAGACTTTTTGAGCAATCTACAAGCCATTTAATGATATTTTCAAAATAACTATCAGCTTCTTCATTTGCAAAAAAAATTATTTTTATACCTTAGATCAAAAAATGTGGCTAAAATGAGATTTTTATTATTGTGATATTTCTCAAAACTTTCAATCGCTGATATTTTACATTCTTTTAAAGTTGTCCCTAATCCTAAAAACAAGGGAGACTTTTTAGGTTGAACCAGCATGGTTTTTATAACTTATCTAATTGGAATTATAGCAGATGCAATTGCTTCATGCTCACTTAACAAATTTGTTATATCATTAATTATTTTTAAAAGTCGTAGTAATTTTTCTAAAATAATCCATTCATTGTTTCCAGTGACTTTAGTTGTTATTATCACAACAAAATTGAATCAAAGCACGCTTCTGTTCAAAAATTCTTTCAAACATAAAATATTGACTATTCCATCTTGTTGTAATGTCACTATTTTCTGACACTTCATAATGAGTTTGATATTTTTGCTAAGCTTCAAAAGAAGATGGCAAATAATTAAATGGGTTACTATGTTTTTACAAGTTGTTGATATATTTTTAATATATATCTGGATAAATACAGTGTCGTTCAATACAAGTAGCAAAGTGTGTAAAAAATACGGCAAACTGTTGTCACCTGCCTCTCTTATTCCAGCTACCATATTAGCTGTATTATCTCTAGCAACTAAATGTACCTTTGAGGTTGGAATAAGAAATTTATAGAACTTTGAATTGCTTCACTTACATTTTTGGCAGTATGCGATACATTGAGTTCAAAAACTCAAAGAATTGCTGATTTTTAATGAAATTTAGAAGTTAACCAATGAGCTGTCAAGCTAAGAAATGAGCATTTTTTATTGATAGATGACCATCTATCAGTTGTAAATGAAATATATGAAGCATAATTTATTTCTTTTTGGACATTTGGTCTGACTTTGTTGTATATATTTTAAAAAACAGAGTTTTTAATGTATTTTCAACTTGGATTGCAATCGTTAGAACATAAATAGTTGAACAAACTTTGAAAACCTTCTTCATCTTCTACTATAGAAAAAGGTTAAATATCAACTCCAATCATTTCTGAAATTTATTTATTAATTAATTTAGACCTGTGATCATTAATGTCCCAGGGCTTTTTTCTCTCAAATGTTTCAAACAAAGTTCGTTGAGACTGTTTTGAGTAACTTGCATCAGTTGACTTGATTTTCTTGAACACATTTTGTTCACTTTCTGCTCTCCTTGTGTTTTCTTCTTCATTAATTTTCAATTCTTTGCTTGCTATTTCTTTATGTTTTGTATTAATATGAGATAACATATTTGTTGTGTTAAGACTTTGATTTTTTTTCTTTGTTACCTCTTGTAATTTCAGTTTGCATGTGCTACATTTTGCAATTGAAGCATCTTATATTAATATTTCCGCACCATTTTTATTGGAATACCTTTTCCAAACAAAGCTGCTGACATTCTGAATATATATTTGATTCTGCAACTTTATTAACTTATTAGTAATTTAGATATCTAAATAACAATTATATAGAAATATAGAAGGTAATACTTGAATACATATAAATAACAATCCTTATTATAAGTTACTTTTAAGTACAACAATAAAACAATACAAAATAAAACTATTCTAAAAACAACATTATTTTAATTAAGGTATTAATACATTCAGCTGTTAAATTAAAGCTCATAAACATCATTTTAAGAATAAACAAATCTGCCTGTAAACTAAGTCAAAATAAACAATTTCTCAAAAAAATTTTAATTAATGCGTAAAGTTTAAATTATTTACTCTTTAATTTTTATCATAATGCAGGATAAAAATATTAAAATGCCATCCGTTGGCAAAATGATTAATTAATAAAAAAAAGGCTGATGCCGATACTGATTCTGATTGTACAAAAAGTGGCTGATTAAGCCGATGCTAATACCAATTAATCGGTCATCACTAGTATATATATATAAATATATATATATATATATATATATATATATATATATATATATATATATATATGCTAATATTAATTATTCGGTCATCATTAATATATATATATATATATATATATATATATATATATATATATATATATATATATATATATATATATATATATATATATATATATATATATATATATATATATATATATATACAACCCTCAGAATTAGGGTAGTATATATATATATATATATATATATATATATATATATATATATATATATATATATATATATATATATATATATGTATATATATATACTACCCTAATTCCTAACTGCCAAACTAAAAGTGTTTGAGGTCGGCAAAAAATTGCTGACCTTGTTTCTATATTTTATGGTCAGACCTTTGTATCAAAGAATTTAAATTGAGGTCAGCAAATTGTTACCGACCTCATTTTTCCTAATTCCTAAAAATTTAAATTCATTTTTTCATTTCATAATTTCAATTTTTTTTTTTTTTTTTTTTTTTGCTATCTAAATTAAAACAAAAGCAGTGAAAAGAATGCTTTGAATAAATACTAGATAAAATAATTTAAAAAAAAAAACTGTTAAAAAAAGGATTTGATAGCTTATTTTGATATAGTTTATGTCAAGTAATTAAGCACAAAAAAACAAAACAACATTAAAACTAATTCTGATAAATACCTTGTAGCCAAGCTTCAACTAGTTCAGGTTTCCATACTGAAGATAAAAACATCCATCCTTGCATAAGCCATACAGCATCAGAATCACTTGCAAGCATTGCATTATAAACTCCAATACTTGTGTTTGTAATAAAAGCTGAGGTCAGCTGAGGTGGATCCATTTCATTAAAAATGTCAGCATTATAAACATGATCAGTTCCATTATATAATTGCTTTTGCATTTCAACAAATGCAGCACCAACTTTCTATAAATAAAAACTATAAAGATCACTTAAAACATTTTTTTTCACCATTTAATACAAGAATTTAGTAACCTTAAAAAGAGGATCTTGTGGGTCCAATAAAAAAGTACCACCATATTTCCCAGTGAACTTATTCCATGGCTTTAGCTTGTAATATTTAGATGTTGGAAACAAGCGACTAACAAGAGCTTTCGGTATATGACCTCCGAATCCAGGAAGTACTGGTATCATACCAAAACTTCTCATACGTGAAATAATGTTTTGTTGTAACTGCAATTGCTTAGAATACCAAGAAGAAGAGAGTGGCCCTCCCCATCCTTCAAGGTTTCCCATTCGTTGCCTAAATATACAAACATATGTGCAATGATATATGTTTGTGTGCATATATATATATATATATATATATATATATATATATATAATATATATATATATATATATATATATATATACACTTTATATCATTAATTTATAATCATTTTAACTTATAAGATTTTCCATAAATATAAAGTATATATATATATATGTATATATATATATATATATATATATATATATATATATATATATATATATATATATATATATATATATATATATATATATATATATATATATATATATATACTTTATATTTATGGAAAATCTTTAGCTGTCCAAAATAGTGCATTAAAGCAGAGGCACCAAGTAAGTATTCAGCCTGCATCTACCATTAAAATGTTAGCCGATGATAAGTGCTTTTAAACTATTAACAAGGATTATTAACAAATTTTTTGTACATTATAATAAATCAGCCCCAAAAAATTACTGTTCATTCTCACATCACAAAAAGTCAACTTAAAAATCTTACTTAACTTTATTCTAGAATAAAATAAAAAAGTTAATTGAGTAATTTGTTAAAGGGTCATTCCATGCCAAATGGACTGAAAATTTGGGATTTTAACATGGACCCCACAGATTTTGATGAAACTTGGTGGGTTGGTTTATTTCAATGAGAAAAGCTATTCCTGAAAATTTCAGCTTAAATCTTTTATGGTTCATGAGTTATTGCCATTAGAAATTTCTGATTTTTTTAAAAATTAAAACTTCATTAGCAAAAACATGTTTTGTTCATACTTTGAAGCACTGCATTTTAAAAACGAAATTTCTTTTTTTATTATTTACAACTGTAGGCTTACTTTGTTAAAATTTTGACATTGAATTTTTTAATTTCACATTTTATCCAATGGCTGCCTAAAAAACCTAAAAAATTGTTTGCAGATTTAAAAAGTTGATTTTTGATGGGTAAATATACAAAATTAGCAACTTAAGAAGTGAAAAAACATATCTTTTTAGTTTATATATATGGTAGGCTTCCTAATTTTTAAAAATTTACTGATAATATACAATTAAGTAAGAAATAATAGACTCCTAAAAATGGCTCCAGGGTAAACTTTAAAAATTGTGCCTTCCTTTAAACCATCGGTAACCTAGGATCAACACTGATTTTCATAATAATATTTTTTTTACTGATTTAACAGACTTTAATAAAGTGAAATCAGAAAAAAAAATTAGTGGGTACTCATATGGAAGTGACAAAGTCAGATCAATGAAGTTGGCACAAAATGCATTAAAAGCAATAAAAATATAGATATTGATGTACAGTAGTTTTCATTATCTACTGCAATGCAAAAAATATATATATAAAAGTATATCATAATCATTACTAGAAATTAGCTATAAACTAAGATTGAACTAAACTTGTTCAAATAGCCTTAGTTATCTCTCTCCCCTGTCCATTTACTTTTTAACATGCATATTTTCGCACAGAACTCACCTTAAATATATTTGTTATTGAAGGTTTCACTGATTATTTTCAAATGCATGAAGTATCTTTGTGCACAAAATAAGAATTGAACATACACATTTAAAAGCTGTAAAATGATAAACATGTTATTGGTTGGATTTTTTATCTTTATTTTATATATAAAATTTATCATTTTTTATTTAATTATTATGTCAAAACTCATGTAAACTTTACTTTATATTTCAAAAACTGAAACTAAATAATTTTTTTTAGATAATAATTGAAAATAAATGGTTAGTGTATCTTTAGATCTAACTCAATGTTGCATTGGAAAAACATTAAATAAAGATTGTCATGAAGGAAAATTTACCAAATTCAAGAAAATTAAATGTTTTGACGAATTAACCAAAAAAGATCAAGAACTTGTGCACTTACGATGTAAAGTTAATCATATAAAAACTATTTGTTATCACCATGAAACGATCTTCTTGAATAGATTTAAGTCTTCGTATGATGGAAGCTTTTGTTGTGATCCATTTAACAAACACAAAATTAAAGTTAAAAGTATTAATAATAAATTGACTTAATCAATTATTTCAAAGATAAAGACTTATTTAATGTTTTATCAATTTGTTTCTTTTTAAAATCTGTCAGAGTAATCAGTGTTGCTGTTGCAAAGGAATTTGATTTAATGCCTGGTCATACCTTTGTACAGAATGTCATAAAATATTGTATTTAAAAATAACAAAAAAGATTATGAAAGCGATTTGTGTAAAAATAAAGACAATGATTTTAATGAGATTCATATTTCAAAAGAAAACTTCAATTTAGGCATTTATAGGTTTGGTTGTTCACCTCTAAAACTAGTAGCCCATAAAGACAGGTTCAGCTATGCAAAAAGGAAGATAAACAAGATCTATACTGCCACCAAAAAGAAAATAGCAACTGTTTCTCCCAATTTAATAAATGATGAACCAAAAACAAAAGAGCTATGTTGGGACAGTATGGAATTAATTAAACCAAAGCTTGATATTTCTTCAAAATCAAAAAAACTTAAATAACTAACTTTGGTTCCTGACAGTTGGAAAATTGACTATACACAAAACTATTTTTCTGCTTCCCAAAGAATGATACTGAAAAAACTGCAAAACAATGGCATAAATGCATGGCATACTGGCAGAACTGTCTTAAAAAGAAGGAAGACCTATTAGTGAGAAAATAAAAATTCAAGTTCATGAATTCTACCAATCAGATGAAAACTCTCGAATATGTTCAGGAAAAATGTAGTCTCAATCCAAGTTGATGGTAAAAAAAAGGCTACTATTACTTAATATAAAAGAATTTTATTTTGAGTTTGTTAAAATTTCCTTAGATGTCAAGATTGGATTTTCTAAGTTTTGTGAACTTAAACCAAAGTGGTCTATTCTTGTTGGAGGTGCTTCAGGTCTCCACTCAGTATGCATTTGAGAGTACCACCAGAATGCCAAACTTTTAGCATTAAAAATACCAGATATTTCTGACTATAAAATCTTTTGACATTAATTGTATGTGACTTAACAAACTGAGACTGCATGCTGCACAGTTGTGATTATAGAGTATCTTACTACTATATATGATAAACATAGCATTGAAGAAATCACATTTAATGAATAGCAAAAAGCTAACAAAAAATAGGATATAGTGCCAGTAACTCTTTCAGTGGATGATTTTATTGCAAAAACTTGTCAACAAATAGACCAATTAAGAGATCATCACTATATAACCAAAAATCAAGCAGCATATTTGCAACATCTAAAAATCACATTACCAAGTAATCATATTTTAATATTACTAGACTTTGCTGAAAATTACAGTTTTTTAATTCAAGATGCAGTACAAGGTTCCGATTGGAAAAACAGCCAAGCAACATTGCATCCTTTTGTTATTTATTTTATGGAAGAAAATAAGATAAAATGTAAAAGTATTTGTATCATCTCAGATCATTTGCAACACAATACAAATTCAGTTCATTGTTTCATTCATGAAGTATTAAACATAGATGAGTTTTTGACTTTATGAAAAACCGTGAAATTTTTTTCTATGAAAATCCCGGAAAATTATTTTATTAAAAATTGATCGTATTAACACACAACAAAAACTTTTGTAAATTTTTAAAATGGAATTTAGATTATTTAATTTTTTACAAAAAGGAATTACTAATATTCAAAAAAAGTTTATTTGAATGAAAAAAAAAATTGTTACGAAAATTGATCTTGTGAAAATTTTAATTATAGAAAACATATTTTTTAAATCGCATTTAAAATTTCATGTAATTTTTGTTTCAAATTATTAACAAAAAACATCCGGAAATTTCTGGAAAATTAAAGAAGTTTTAAGTGAATTTCCAAAATTCCATTTCATAGTAGTGTTTTCCGGAATCACATTCCAGAAAACACTACATTTACAATAGTATATATAATAAAAAAATTATATAACAACATGGCAAAACTGTTATTAATTTGATCAATCCTAATTTTTTATTAAAGCAAATTCAAATGATTCAATTTTTATGTTGACATTTTATTAAATGATAATGTTTTTATTACATAATATATATTACATAATAAACTTGTGTATTGTGATGACAAATCAAATAACTTTTATCACTTGGTATAATCTGTAACCTAAATTTAAACAATAATAATCAAATAAATTAGGAAGGGCAGAACAGCGAATGCTTTGGGAAAAATTGTACAAAATTTTTAGTCAGAATATGAAATAGTAAGAAAATAAGTGATACGAAAACAAATATGTGTTGGGCAGATAGTAAGAATAAAACAAAAAAATTTTATTTTCATCATTTTGTGCCAATCTCATTGCTCTGTTAGATCAGTAAAAAAAAAAAATTATTATGAAAATCAGTGTTGATTCTAGGTTACCGATGATTTAAAGGAAAGGCACAATTTTTAAAGTTTTCTCCGGAGCTATTTTTAGGAGTCTATTATTTCTTACTGAATCATATCTTATCAGCAAATTTTTAAAAATTAATAAGCCTACCATATATAGAAACTAAAAAGATATGTCTTTTTACTTCTTAAGTTGCTAATTTTGTATAATGACCCATCAAAAATCAACTTTTTATATCTGTAAACAATTTTTTAAGTTTTTTAGGCAGCCATTATGGATAAAATGTGAAATTAAAAAATTCAATGTCAAAATTTTAACAAAGTAAGCCTACAGTTGTAAATAATAAAAAAAGAAAGTTTTCTGAAATTTCGTTTTTAAAATACAGAGCTTCAAAGTATGAACAAAAAATGTTTTTGCTAATGAAGTTTTAATTTTTAAAAAAATCAGAAATTTCAAATGGCTATATTTCATGAACCACAAAAGATTGTAAGCTGAAAATTTCAGGAATTGCTTTTCTCATTGATATAAACCAACCCACCAAGTTTCATCAAAATCTGAGGGGGTCCATGTCAGACCCTGGTTCACTTGGCATGGAATGAGCCTAAATTTAATAATAAGTTAAAGTAAATTGTTAAATTTAATAATATTTATAACTCTTAGAGTTTTAA